TCGCCGGCCCGGGCCAATGGGGGCGGCGAGAAGCGGCGCGGGCGAGCAATGTGCTGGCCGCGGCTTCTCGCTGCCCCCATTGGCCCGGGACGGCGAACCGCGGCCAGTGGGGGCCGCGATCGGCCAAACCTGCCGCGTCAGCAGGTAAATAAAACTGGCCCGGCCCGCCAGGGTGCTTACCCTGGCGAGCCGCGTGCCGAACGTTGCCGACCCCTGCTTTAGAGCCTACAAGTCCACTCAGTCCTACTTCTTGTTCAGCCAATCGCAAAGAGAAACAAGTTTGTTTACATTTACAGGAGATAATGCTGCCCGCTTCTTATTTACAATGTCACCTGAAAGTGAGAACAGGCATTCGCATGGCATTTTTGTAGCTGGCATTGCAAGGTATTTATGTGCCAGATATGCTAAACATTTGTATGCCGCTTCATGCTTCGGCCACCATTCCAGAGGACATGCTTCCATGCTGATGATGCTCGTTAAATAAAATAAAATAAAAAAAAGGATAATTACTTAGTGACTGAACTCCTTGGGGGGATAATTGTATGTGTCCTGCTGTGTTTTACCTGCATTCTGCCATATATTTCATGTTATACTAGTCTCGGATGATGACCCAGCACATGTTGTTCATTTTAAGAACACTTTTCACTGCAGATTTGACAAAACGCAAAGAAGGTACCAATGTGAGATTTCTAAAGATAGCTACAGCACTCGAGCCAAGGTTTAAGAATCTGAAGTGCCTTCCAAAATCTGAGAGGGACAAGGTGTGGAGCATGCTTTCAAAAGTCTTAAAAGAGCAACACTCTGATGCGGAAACTACAGAATCCGAACCACCAAAAAAGAAAATCAACTCAGATGATGAAAATGAACATGCGTCAGTCCGCACTGCTTTGGATTGTTATCAAGCAGAACCCTTCATCAGCATAGATGTATGTCCTCTGGGATGGTGGTTGAAGCATGAAGGGACATATGAATCTTTAGCACATCTGGCATGTAAATATCTTGCGACACTGGCTACAACAGTGTCATGTGAACGCCTGTTCTCATTTTCATGTGACGTAAACAAGAAGAGGGCAGCATTATCGCCTACAAATATAAACAAACTTGTTTGATCGATTGGCTGAAAAAGAAGTAGGACTGAGTGGACTTGTAGGCTCTAAAGATTTTATATTGTTTTGTTTTTGAATGCAGTTTTTTTGTACATATTTCTACATTTGTAAGTTCAATTTTCATGATAAAGAGATTGCACTACAGTACTTGTATTAGGTGAATTGAAAAATACTATTTTGTTTTTTACAGAGCAAATATTTGTAATCAAAAATAAATATAAAGTGAGCACTGAACACTTTGTATTCTGTGTTGTAATTGAAATCAATATATTTGAAAATGTAGAAAACATCAAAAATATTTAAATAAATGGTATTTCATTATTAACAGTGCGATTAATCAAGATTATTTTTTTTAATCACGCGATTAATTGTGATTAATGTTTTTAATCACTTGACAGCCCTAATTATAAATAGAGGATTATCTCCAGTTACTGTTTGTTCACAGTGAGAACAGGCTAAGATTGTTTGAATGATGTTAATGGTACATACTTTCTAATAGCTTTTTTATTTTAATTTTTTAAGTATTACATTAATTTATAATTTCCATTCTTTCCATTTTCTGTTTTGTTTTATAGTTCAACATTCTTTTAATTTCCCCTTCTCAATTTAGTGATACAACTTAAACATTGATAAAGTCAAGGAAAATGCTTGTAGCTCTACCATATGGAAGCATATATTCACCAGCAAGTATGATATGTAAATTAGTTTCTTTGGGACAAAAGCCGTAGGTAGATTATGCCATGAATGACATCTGCTTTAATTAATACAACTTGGTAGAACTGCATGAAAATTGCTTCCAAACTACACCTACAGATTTTGTAATGTCTTTTAACGCAGCCAGTTCTGCCTAGCAGTTCTGTAGCAGGTCCCTAGAGGAAGCAATAGCTATGAAGAGATCAAAAGTCCCCTCAGTTATAGAATCCAGGAGAAATTTCCTGTTTCTCTAATGTTTGTAAGCAGTTTGGATCAATAAACCAAATATGAAGTTCCTCCCTTTTTTAAAGCTATAACCGGCTAAAAAAATCATAAGAACTGACAAAGAAGGGAAAGCAGCTAATTGTTCAAGCTTCCATATATTAGAAACATCTAGTGAACTTGTCTCAGATTTGGAGGGAATGTTTCTTCTACCTCCCACCTCCTAGGCCAAATTGCCCTTCAAAAGAACATGCCCTGAGGATTCAGGAGGGTAGTATGGAGGGGATAAATTCTGCTTATAATGGTAATGTGGTTACAATATGTGCTGCCGAGATGCTTCTACCTCTCCATAATACTACATGATCAGTTTTGGTCTGGATTTAGCTTGGGCACTCACAGAACTGAAGTTTGTTCTCAGTCAAGCTAGCAATATCATGCTAGCAGAACAGGAACAATATTGTTGGGCCTGCTTTCCTCCTTTAATAATAGTGAAAACTGTGGGCTAGGGAGATCACACAATAATCCCCAGAGAGTTCGTGGAGTTACAGTTCAAATTCTAATGCTCATCGTTTTATAAAACTGGGGATATTTTATATCTGTCATGGGAGTATCAAGGGATCTGAAAGCTGAACCTAAGAGATAGGAAAAGGCAGGTGTTCTAATAACAGGGAAAACAGCCATCATCTGCCATTTGGCCCTCTTCTTGTCAACCCTTCCATCCCCACCACCAAAGTGTGCTCTCTATCCCCTCCCATACAAGTCTTCTCCATCCCCTGCTCTTTCTATCCTCCAGCTCCTCCTACCAAACTCTCTCTCCCACACTCAAATTATGTCCTCCTGAACTTCCCTTTTCTCAGTTCCGTGCCATCCCCCCAACCTTTCTTTCTCTACCTCCAGTTCTCTTCTTGCAACTGAGCTTTGGCCTCCTGGATCAGTCTCTCCCTTCCCTCACTGTCTGTCCCTCTGAAGTACTATTTCTTTGAGATTTGTCCCCTCCCCACTGTTGCTGCTGTTATTGTTATAGCACAAATGTGTAACCTCCTAAAGCTCTCTCCATCCTGGGTTCTCTTTCTTTTGCTCTGATATCCTCTTCCTCCCTCCAGGGTTCATTCCTTCTCCTCCAGAGCTGCCACAGCTCTCTTCACTCCCTTCTTTCTGCAAGGCCCTCCCTGTCTACCTGTCTCAGAAGCTCCTGAGCTCTGCTCCCTCCAGTGCTCCCTCCAGCATTGCTGCCATAAACAGCATTGCTAAATGGAACGGCACTCGGCAGTGATCTCATCCTGTTTCCACCCTTTCCCTTCCCATGTGCACATGGCTTTTCCTGGAATGCTTGCCACGCCAGCTGCAGATGGAAGTACTGATTAAAGATCAAACACCAAATCCAGTCACCACCACTTCTGTTGCACCTGTGTAACTGAGATCAGAACTTAATCCACTTTAAACAAACCAGTGCACATGTATTAACACTAAAAGTGACAAAGAATTCCCGTGTGCACAATGTTTCCAAGTCCAACTCTAGGACAGAGCCATTGCTAAGAAATCAAAGCAACTGCAGCATATATTTCATATCTAATTTACATATTTTGTTCCCTTTCTGTAGAAGAACTTGTGAGAAATGTTGGTGAACAGCAAAAAGACCAAAGCAGAAAACCCGCAGATGCACAATTACAGGAGGAAACAACCAGGACACAAAATGAGAGTAGTCAGGGAAGCGATGACACGCCTTTACCAAGAAGCTCCACTCCCAGTTCCTTCGTCCTACAAGTTATAACTTTCGACTGTCCTCCTAGCGCATCCAGCTCGGAGAAATTCACTAACTCTGATCCAAACCAGAAAGATCCCACCGAGGCACAGCAAGAAACACAGCCCACTGACCCATTGAATGGTAATATCTCATCACAAAACACACATCAGTCTAACGAAGTGGTGCAGGGTGGAGCTGCCGCCGTGTCTGTTACATCCCTATTAAGCTTTGATATCCATAAAATGTCCAATTAAGTAGTTGTTCGAGCCTGCAGTTTAGGAATGGCCCTTCCTCAGGCATATGTAGAAACTGAAGTGTCATCAAATAAAAAACATTTGACCTGAATAAATTTAACCTTTTTGATATTAAGTATTTGATATTTAATAGTAACTTATTTGGCTTAAAATACCAAAAATATGACAGTTGAACTCATAATTTCAAAATTATTTTAGATATGTATTTGCAACTATAGAAGTTTAAGTTACTGGGAAATTACATAAACTCTGTAGAAACTGCTTGTCATTTTCTTTTTGAATAGGTAATTCTGCTTTGGCTATTACAAGGCTTCTCACTTATTGTAGGGACTTATGGTCAAAACTTCATGAATCAAATCATTTGTAATAAAAATGAATACAACTTCCCCCATTTATTTTGATCACTTTAAGCAGGTGTAATTTGATCATTAAAATAAGTATAAAAAGTTGCCATTTCATTAACAAGGAAGGTGAAAATTTGGAATGTTGAGGGGGAAGGGGATGGAATAGCCAAAGAAGACCCATGATGATGCAATATGATGAAAATGAAAAGGGTTTTATTGACATAGGCTGTGGTCTGTGTCAAGGTGTCCAAGCGACAGTGGAACTTGATCTAAGTAGAAGGAAGGTACTGTGTGATATTCCATTTTAACTTACAAATCCTACTGAAATTGATGATAAAGTAAGCTTTAAAAGAATGGGATGTTGAGAAGAAAGTATTACCTCTGACTCTTCCTTGTGGGCTGAGGATCCTTCACATCTTTGCATGAGCCATGAAGATCCAACTCTCTCCCCTGGTGTATTGTACATTCTTCCCCACACCTACACCCCCACACGCTCAAGGCCTTATGATGGGCTAGATTGCGTGTTCTCAATCCATCCTGAGTAAGAGGCAACACGTGACTGCATTGCCACAGGAGAGACCAGAGAATGAATTGGGGCTCTGAACGCTACAATTCATCCCCTACTTTCCCCTTGTTCTGAGGGAGGAATATGTTACCCCACTCCATTTCATGGACCCGCTTGCTCCCTTCTCCCTCTGCCCCGCCTCCCCCACATACACCCAGCCAGTTATCATGGCCACTGAGTGAGGGGGACAGAGCCAGAGCTTCTTTCAAATCCCTGCCCCTCACCAACTTATTTGCTTGCAGCAAGGAGTATTGGGAGAGTAGCCCTTGTTCTCCACAGTGTAGCCAGGGTCGTAATCTGATCAGAGCTGAATGGGTAAGTGACGGTCAGGGCCTTATTCTCCTGCAGGTGAAGAAAAATAAGGAAACTTAGTGAGAACCAAACAAAGTTGCTGCTTAATTTTTCCCCGTGTCTTGTACTTTAGGGGCTTGAGGTAGTCACATGCTCTGTTCCCAGCTCAAACATTGGGCTCAGGTATGTCTTTTCTGAGGCTGAGCCTTGCCAGGTTGGGAGATAAGGTGGCACTGCCTGAGCATAAGTGTGTGGAAGTATAGCTTAGCACACCTCTCAATTGTCCCTCATCTTGAGAGATCTCCCTCATTTTATCCCCAGCATGTCCTACACACACACACACTTGATGTCCTTTCATTTTTATTGTTGAAAATTGTTCCTCAGAGTAAAGGATCACAAAGCTGAGGTTCTAGACTGGATTATTTCTATGAAAAGAATGAATCCCCCAGTACTTAACGTTTCTTAAATGAATATTTTTTCTCTCTTTCATTTTGGGTTTTGGTCACACGCTACATGTGGGCCTTGGCAGGGTGAAAATGAAGTGCCTGAGAAAGGGTTAACGCCTGCTATGCACTAGAGGAGGAGCCCCAGGAGAGGCACTACTTGCTGTGCCCATAGAAGAGGTATAACAGCCATCTTGTACTAAGGGTCCTTACTGCGCCCCCAGTGCTATTTCTGCAGCACCGAGATGTTCCTTGGAGTTCCTCCATCCAAACTTTGACTCGGTCAGATCCTGGATAGCTTGAGAAATCTGACCGGATCATGGAATACATTGGCAAAGTATGGTTGTAGGCATACAGTTCTTGCAACATAAAGTCCACCGTTCTCGTGCAATGAGCATATCATTATTTACGAGAACTCAGTGTTATTGAAAGGAATTCATTCAGCATGGTAGGAAATCCCCTGTAGGACCGGCAGGATTTTAAGGCATCAGGACTGCAGTTTATGAAATTGGTAATAGCCTACATTTGATTTATTTCCCATTGGAGTTATTTACTTTCCAAAGGTAAAATGGGTTAGAAATTATTTGTTTTGCTGGAAGAGGGCACAAAAAGGAGGGTGTGCAAAGCTGCAATAGACCAGGGAAGTGTTTTGGGTTTGTTTGTATGCTTGTTTTAGAGAGAAATAAATAATTAAAGGGCTAAAAAGGAAAGAAGTGGGAGGGCAATAACTGAGTTTAATGAGGAAATGTGAATAATGTCAGTCAAGCTCCTGAACTACAAGGCACAGCTCATATGCCTACATCCTGCACCACTGAACTAAATGGCCCATACAGAAGGCTCATTTCTGTACAAACTGACCCTAGGACATGCTATAAAAAAAGCCAGAGGTAGGGACTTGTAAGCCTAAAGTCTGTCATGGCAGTAGCAGGTTTAACTTATCCTATTATTAGACTGTAGCAGCAGTAGTCACACCACCTTTTTAAGGTCCAGGTCACCTCCAGAGATTGATTTATGGTCCAAAACATCAATTATGTCTCCTCTAATTTATCTAACAGTGATGCATCTGAGCCTTCACAATTAAATGTCTGGCTGGAGCAAACATCAGGGCTAGTGCTGCTGCTACAGGAAGCTCAACCATAGTATGTTAGATTCTCTACAGATTTTGAGATAATAGCTGAATTGCTATGAAGGTGACTTTGGAAACTAAGTGAAATGGAAAAGGGCTCATATCCAAGACTGCCACCAACTGTTAATCGTCATCCCGTTAGCAATGATGGGAACATATAAAGGGTATTGCTCATTGCTGGGCATGCTGTTGATAGACAACATGCTAACTATCATTATTTTGGTGCCATTCTGAGTTCTGAAACTAACTTCTACTTCATTTGAAACTATTCATCCCAGATACAATGCAGGCCGGCCGACAGCAATTCCGGGCCCCTGGGCAGAACAGTCAATGGGCCCACACACAGGCACAAGCTGTGCGGATGCGGTCCGCCTGACATTTGGGCAGTGCTGCACCTGTACTTGCTGGTGCCCAGCGAGCTGCTGGCTGCGCTGCTGGGCACACTCTTCCGGCATGGCCAGGGCTTCCACATGCCCACCTGGTAGGCTTGCCAACTGTCTAATTGCGCCAACCCAAAGCCCTTTGCCCCACCCCCTCCCTGAGACCACATCCCTGTCCCGCCCCTTCTCTGAGGCCCTGCCCCCTGCTCACTCCATTCCCCCTCCCTCCATCACTCACTTTCCCCCACCTTCACTCACTTTCACCAGGCTGGGGCAGGGGATTAGGGTGCGGGGTGCAGGCTCTGGGAGGGAGTTTGTGTGTGGGAGGGGGTATGGGGTCAGGCTCTAGGAGGGAGTTTGGGTCTGGGGTGTGGGTTCTGGGCTGTTGCAGGGGGTTAGGGTGCAGGAGTGGCGGGGGGGGGAGTCGGCGTTTACCTCAGGCAGCTCCCGAAAGCGACCGATACATCCCTCTGGCAGCGGCTCCTAGGTGGGAGGCCCAGCAGTTCCTGGTCAATGGGAGCTGCGGAGTCAGCGCTTGGGGTGGGGGCAGCTCGCAGAGACCCCCTGCCACTGCCCCCAAGGCCCGCAGGGACATGCCAGCCCCTTCCGGGAGTGGCACAGAGCAAGGGCAGGCAGGAAGCCTACCTTAGCCCAGCTGCGCCAGCGGCGGCTGGAGGCCCCCGAGCCCTTTTAAATCGCCTGGGCCCCTGGGCAATTGTCCCCTTTGCACCCCCCTGTCAGTGGGCCTGATACACTGTATGAATGTGTTTGCTTATTTATTCATTCATTCATATTGAGCTACTGGTGGAAACATCATTTTATACAGCTATAAAACAAGTTCCCTGCTCCCAGGATCTTACAATCTAGATTACTCTGATTTGTCTTTTGTGCATCTAGAATGTGCATCTAGAGCTATTTTCAGACTAACTGGGCCACGAGATTATGCAGTAGGATGATACAATATAAGGAATCTGGACAGTCACTTAGACTGCATTTAGCTGTAGCTTAAATTTAAATGCATTTATTTTTTTGTATAGCAGGCATTTTTGTATCCAAGTTCAATGAGTGATCAGCTGCAGGCATCATACTGTGAGACTTCCTTTCATTGATCGATGTTGAATTTAGTCTCAACCATCTGCTTCAGTGATTGCTTGCCTCCATTTTCCAACATAGATAAAAATCACACTGTGGAATGGAGAGTTTCTAATTTTCTTAATTAAGAAGGAATATTGGATATTAGCAAATCATTAAAGTAAAGTCACATATGAAATAGAAGGAAATCCATAATTTGACAGCACTATCTGTTTCAAATGGATTTGATGTTTGTGTGCCTATTTGAGATTAGTGAATAAATCAAGAAAAAGAGTGAGATTTTCAAGGCTGATAATGCATTTGGATGCTCAGTTCCCATTAACTTTATCAGAAATTACTAGGTTATACGAAATATTCTTGTTGCCTTGAGCAAGCTATCAAAGGCTGAAGTCAGATAATGTATATTCTGTGGGTGAGCTCCTGGCTGTGTTGAAGTTAAAGGGAGTTTTCACCCTAGGTGGTATTTGAATTTTATTTGTTTTCTGATCATGATAGTCTGATTTATTTTGTACATTTAATATTTCATATTTATATTTTTCTTTTTAAAAGGAAACCAAGAATTAAAATCTATCAGAAGTACAAACTGTTCCAGTCAGTTACAACCACTGTTTGCCAGATATAAAATGAATTGGTTCTGCCCAGACTGAGTAGCCTGCAGTTTCAGCAGGTTAGGTATTTTGACTGCCATTCTCACTTCAGAAATGTGTTTGATACACCTACTAAACCATTAGTTTGGGAAAGAAATCACTTCAGCACATCCTTTAATCTTTCTTTACCATGGGCAGTTGTTCTGATCTCAACAGTAAATCAATCTGACTCTACCATTTGTAGTTTAGAAATTTTCCTGGCCAATTCCAATATTTTCAGTTTTGTGAATCTAATAAACAGGAGGGATCTGGTGTAATTCTTGACTAAGGCCATGTCTACACTGCTCTACAATTTGGATTATGAGGGTATGAATTGCAGTACACACTAAAGTGCTGCACTGTAATTCCCCCATGTGAACACTGTGGACATAAATTTAAAGGTCCCTAGTTTGCACTAATGTAGTCTTTTTAGGGACCTTTAAGGTCATGCCCACATGGGGGAGCTACAGTGCAGCTTATTAACACCCCCTTTTTCTGAACTGTGGGGCAGTGTAGACAAAGCCTGAGTCACTGTGCTTGGATGTTACAGCTCCTTTTAATCTGGTAGAGTTTAGCAGTGTGCTATAGCAGGTCAAAAAGTTTCTACAT